ATACTTTCCGAACATATTTCCTCCGTTTCATTTATTTCGCCAGGAAAATTAAAATTTGTCGTCGTGACAGGTGGAAAATACAACCAAATTTATTTTTGGAATATTCATCTCGATTTACTCTATGAACCTTAGTGTGGTGTGAACTGTGCTATGCGTTATTTTTTTTTACACCAATTGCAGCCTGAAATGTGATACAGTGCTAAGAGTTTTCTCGGTGTAAAAATAAAAGCATCCGTTTGTCGGTTTCGAGGCAGCTAATTAAATAATTAAGTTAGACAGTTTTCAATATTCCAATTTAGTCAAATATCATTTACACTTTCGCTCGGCAAAGAGCAATAGTCGTGGGTTGAATACCATTGAACTTTAATTAAAACTGTGAATTGGACAAAATTTATCCTATTATGTTTATTAAATGTCCTCTATTGCTGCAATTTTCACTGATGTTGTTCACTTTATTTGGGATGTAAATGATTTTGGGATTATAACTGACTGGGAAGTAGACATGTCTTCGTTTTGAAGAATCGTAAATGTTATCTTCTTCAAAATGAAAAAAAAAACGAAGTGTTCCATATACTTTGTGAAATATTAGGCACGGAAGGTAGACGACAAAAATATTTTATAATTTCAACCAAGGTAAAATTACGTAAAATTTTCGCTGGAAGTATTCATTAAACTCTTTTAAAGAATTCTACTGATTGATTTTCGGCGATTTCGTGGAAAAGAAAATGAGAAAAGAGGCAATATTGAACCTGCGAAACGCTTTTATGGAATGGCTTCAGTATTTAAATTTTAACATGGATTCTCCGAGGGGTCAACAACCACGCATTCAAAAAACTGTACAATAGAACATACAAAAAATCTTGTCTTCATAAATTATTAAATTGCTGGATCGCTTTACACCTAACAAAATTATCAGTTGAAAAATAGATATGATTTTGTGCATAGCAGCGCTTTTTAAATCCAAATATGTTTCTTTGTTTTGTATTTGAAATACAAGAAAGGAATTGATAGATTTAGACTGCCATAAAAGTTTACAAAAGCTGCTTTATTGAATGCCAAATTTGCCGGATAAATCGTGACTACAAAAGTGTTGCTAATCTTATCCTTGATACGCATTTACAAAAAACTTTTTGCTCATATTTTACTTCATTTCACTTAAGTGAGAATCTTTGGGGAATTTCCGGTTTCTTCTCTTGACCTTCTAAGAAATATTCTTCATGAATAATTGAACCCGGAACTTCTTACACTTGCCTGAAGCTGTCCCCTCGATGTGTTTCTTCTGCTCTTCACAGCCGAGCCTTAAATGTTTCAATCAAATGTCTTTCTTTCTCCCCCCTTTGCGACACACTTCCACAGACACAATAAATAATTTACCATTTTTCTCCTGGAAGTTTTGAGAATTCCAATGCAATCAAGAAATGAGCCAGGGAGTTGTTGAATACGCTTTTTCCTGCGCCTCCGACTATTAAGATGATGATTTCATCACTTTCATTGTGCCTACGTGGAAACAGGTTATTTGGCAGACTTTTTTCCCGTCGCAGCCACAGAGGCTCTATTGTGGAATGAAGAAATTTATAGGATGAGGGGCAAAAAAGACTAAACAATTTATTCTTTTTAGTGGCAAGCACAATCGAAAAATCAGAGTCTGTCACGGTCGTGTAACCTCCAGAAATAGCCATTTGTAATTAACATGCTCTTACACTAATGCAATACAATAGATCGCAGGGCGATTGTAATCATGAGGAATGACAGAAATTATTCGAGACTGCTGGTAAGAGCAATATTTTAGCCTCACGCATAAAACAATAACACGAGTAGACAAAACATTTCTTTTTCCCTCGAATTCCCCCCCCCCCATTCCAGAAGGCCTCTGTTGAACGCGAAACATCTCTATCACTACACTCCGGGTTGCGTAGGTGGGATGTGTTTGAGCGGGTATTAATACAAATGAGATTATTTATATAATTCACTTTATTAGAATAGCAGTGATTTATGATTAGCTCCGTTAATTTATTATCTCTCCGGGGACCCACATCAAACATATTCGAGTTGTACCAACATTTTCGTGAAAGCTTCTCCCCTTTTCTCGCTGCACAACATGAAAGCCACCCAGAGCAAACCACTGACGACTGTGTGATCTCCAGACAGGCGCTGCCGAGTGAAACATTAATTTATTTCAAAATTGTGAACAACTTTGTAAATCACATTTCAACATATCTTTCACTGTGCAGCAAAAATAATGTCTTGCAGTTGTATTCATGCCAAATTATTTATGAAATGAGACGATGCTGCAGAAATTAATTATGCTGTCCATCAGGCATTTCGTTAAATGCTGGAACGCTGAATGAGTCTGTTCGACAAATGCAGATTTAATTTGTTTATGTGCCGCCTATTACGACTGTAATGATCTTTCTGGACTGATTGAAGTGATACGAACAAATATGGTCTAATTGAGATGTCGCTTACTTGGGCGTTCCTCACATTTGTTCCCACAAATTAACATTCAAATAACCCGTAATAGTCCAATAATTGCAGTGTGGCATCAAAATGACCTCTTATGTGCTTATTACTGGCCACAACTCCATCAAAAATATCCACCCTCGATTAGGGATGAAATGCCACGAATAATGGATTTGATACCTCAATAAGTACGCTCCTATGTTCAATCACTGGAAACATTAATATTTGCATCGAAATATACCACAATCGGATTGAGATTGAATATAGATTATTTTTCGGGCACTTTGGCTCATCAAATTCAATTATGGTACGAAAATTTGGCCGTTCTATTTGTGCATCAATTGCCCCGAAGCAAGCTTAAGTATAGATACTCAATCCCTTGGATGGGCTCTTAGCATCCTCAGCATACAATCAAGTTCAAGTTGCTCAATAACCATGACATAAGTTGAGCCATCATCGAAAGAAATCATCTTTTGTGTACTCCAATCGATATTGCATCCCGAATCACCTTCTCTCGTTCTACGTAATTCAATCAATTTTCCGCTATTATTCATTTATTGAATGACGCCAACTCACACCAGACTGACGGGAGAGTACACGAACAGGAAGAAAAAGGTGGAGTGTCTCGATGAAGACGGTATTTCTAGTCACAGAACATTTTCTCTACGTCTGCATTATGTTCACATTACTCTGCACAAGTCTCCTGATTGAATTATCTTCTTGCGCTACAAAATTTTATGCCTATGAGTGTAATTTTATTCATTTTGATTGAAGTCCCGTAATGCTGTTTACTTTTTTTCCGCTCATGCCAATCATAATTGAATCTTTAATCAATCACAGTGGTGGAAAAATTAATCTTGATGCCATACAAAAGCTGGGAAACAGCATGAGGAAACAAAGAGTTATTTTTGCAACCCATATTATTAATTAAATCACACAAATATGCCATGTAATTCAGTGAAATGACTGCCTTTTTCTTTATTATTTATTCATAATTGCAATATTTAAATATCATCAAAATAGACCCAGAAGCTCTACGACAGAAAATAATTCATATGTCATGTTAATGGTAATGCAATGAAAAAGTTCCCGCTCGATGTATTTTATATATGTTTTATTGTAAAAGTCATGCATTAATTAGTAATAAATACTGTGTGTTAATATTTTTTGATTTCATATACAGGCAATCAAAGTAAATGACAATTTGATAACAGTGAATTGCAATAATTTTCAATTTTTTTTTGATGAAACATTAATTTTATCATTCAAAAATTTTTAAATAAACATTAATTTTACTCCATTTAATGGATAGACCCGATAAAACTAACATAACTCTGGGAAATGTAGTTGAGCTCCAACATGAAATGCGATTTGGCATTGTGTTTATTTAAATAAGTGGATCTCCGAAATTTCCTTCCCTGATGGCTCAATAAAATTCCTATTAGAAACGGAATGGTGAAAGCAATTACAGAAAGTGTCCCTGGGTCTTGGAATGTCAATAGCATTTTGGAAAAATAAACAATCTTGAATGAAGTGCCATATTCAATTATTGTGAGACATTGCAAATAAATTTGCTTATTTTAAACATCCTCGTCAAGTGGTGTCCCCCTTTATGACAAATTAATGGGTCATCTAAAATGAATCACGTACACATCCATATGAAAGCACATTTATGTATTCTCACTTGGTTGTACGTTCTGCCAATGCCACGAACAATGGAGATGGCTTCAGATTCAAGTTGAGTGCTTTTCATTGTTTCCGCTGATGAGAAATTGGGTGGTTCGGATTTAGCAGGCAGAGCAATTGTGAAGTTTTCCAAATTGAATGGTGGAAATTGTATTCAGGGATGGCTTTCTTAAAAGTACATTTGGAAAATTTATTTGGTGTATATTATTCTTTTTCTTAGCGCCCTTTTTATACACAAAACCCACACCATAATTGTGTGCTTAAAGGCATGGAGAGTAGCACTTCGTTAAGGAGAGCACAAAAGGAGCACTGCTTTCCCACTTCAATTTGAGGGGAAAATATATGGACGAGAATTATCTTACAGTGAAACTTTATTTCTGCAATTTTTCTTCAATAGTTAATTAATTTGAGTCCCAATATAACTCCATGCTCTTACAAGATAAACTTTACTAATTCTCCTCCATATTGTGATATTCGTCTTGTCGTGGTGTGAGAAAGAGAGGATAAAAAAGTCTTTTGCACAATTTTTCGTACCCAACAATCACTTCAGAAACACACCAAAAAATCTCAACTATTGTATAGTTTTCCAGAGAAACTTTGTGATTTATCGGGAAGAAATTCCACCACTCCGCTTCGCATAGAACTCCAAAAAATATACTCCTCTACAATTGATGAAAAATTTGTTGGGAAATATCAATAGGAAAAATATCAATTGTATAAGAAGAAGCTCGTGATCTAACTGTCTTATCTATGGAGTTCACAATCTGTGATTCAAAAACCTGATTTCTGTGCCACTTTTCACACCATCACCGGACTAATAATTTAATTTTATCTCTGTTTTTTTTTCTTTGCAGGAACTCTCTAAATCAATGTCAATATTGATGGATCTGATGGGCGCAGAAAGATGACCTGGCAAATGAAAATTATAGAGTGTCAAAGAAATGTGAGAGTGCTGCTCGGGACATGTCTCATGCGTTACTGACTGACAGAAAATTAGTCAACATTGCAGGGGAGACAAGTGTGAAATGAAGTGTTGAACGCGTTGATACAGAAAATGTGGATTCGCCGTGTTTTCTTTCACGACTTTTATTTAATATGTTTTCATCGGTTCTCCTCAGCGAAGATGATAAATTGAGAGAATCTCCAGAACTCACTGCGAGCGATACAATTATGGAAAAATATTCAATCAAGTGAATTGTACTGAAACTGCGCTTTTTGAGTCGATGGTGAAGACAAAATAGTACAAAAGCCAATGTTGACGAACTAATAAAAGGCCATCATACAGTGGAGATTTTAACACCAAAGGAAAGTGCTTTTAGTGTAGATTCTGCTCTTGCATAAAATACTCTCTTGCCATAAATCTTTCGAAGAAATCTCCTATATAAAGTTTTCCACATCGCGAGCAACTTGTGAAATACCCTTATATCAAAATTAATATTCTAATGACAGTGAAAAGAGTGGAAGTTGCCATTAATTCAGATTTGTGTGAGGTTGTAAATTAAAATTCGATTCCTAAAATGGCCCTCACACGCCATCACGGCAGTGTGAGTCTCAAACTGTGGCGGAACACCTTTCTGTCCAGGAATTTATTCCGCATCTGGTTATTGTGTTGGTGTCTTTCAATAAATTCATGGAACCAAAATACCGCCAATGCAGCATACTCCGAAGCGGATGATCTTATAAATGAATTGGACAGACCGAGTGAGTTTGCTATATATACTTTACCATAAATAAACTCATATATATGTACACATGTCTGGAAGTATTCGCCTACACTCGAAATAATCTATCTTGAAGAGAGCGTACAGAAACATTTGGTGTGTAGTGTAGTCAGTTTCCCACAACGAAACATCCAACAAGGATGAATTATCTTTCATGAATAAGTAATTTCAAAAGGAAAGTGTGGAATAAGTAGAAAGAGCAACGAGAAAAAGTGCAACCGCAAATGAACATCCGAATGGACATAAATTTTAGCATGACAAAGTTTGCTGTTTAATTAACAGATAGTAAAAAAGGGGGTGGAGAATAAATTCTAACTAATTTTTTTTTCACTTTTCTTATCATTATTTTTCCTCCTCTCGTGGGGGGGATAACCAATCAGAAAAACGCTTTTCCATTTGCTTCATTTTCACATTAATTCAGTTGTGAATGCATAAAATATTGCTGACTCGCGAAGAGTGTGAGAGAGATGAAAATTTTGCATATAGAGTCGACATCAATGAAAGAAAATCTGGGCATTAAAATTCAAAGATGGAAAAGCATGTCTTTCGGATGAAGGGGTAAAAAAGAGGAGGTTTTTGTTAACATATTCTTTTCATGAGGCTACGCTTTCGATTGTTGCTTTGCATTTTGCATTTAATTAATCTCATTCGCGTAGAAACTTTATTATGTTCTTGTTAGCACACACGATGAGAAATCCACTCACTGTTGACCATTTGATGTTTAGCTCCATGTACCATTTTATGATATTTGCTTAATGAAAGGTGAACTATAAATATTTTACTGTACAGCGGAGCCAGAGTGTGTTGATTAATTGATTTTCTTGCATGCTGGATCTCCAAGTCGATTGCATTAAAGAATTATACGTCATAAATCAATATGCGAAATTGCAAAAGAATAATTTTTTGACGAGCTGTTTATCAGGGCAAAAGCGGCTAGCCGCCGGCAAAAAGTATTTATTATGCAGGGTGATCGCCTACAAAAATATTATGTGCCTCATATGTTGTGTTATTCACACCTATCTCACTTATTTATTCATCGATTATCTTTGATTGCCGTCTATCGGGTAGTTTGATCGCGTTCACATACCCAAATGCACAGCTACAGTGTGAGAGCTGGCGACGAGAGATTGGCCTCACCGATAATAATATACTAACATGCCATATATTAATATACATACGTTGCCGTATAATGTTTATGCACCGAAGAGCTTGCCTCTGGGCCACCAGTTAGTTCACTCCATATAAGTCCATGCATGCGGCACTCTCCCAGTCCATCTCCCGGCCGCTCAAGTGCACTACAAACGCGCCTCTCGAGCCATCGCTTCAATCAGTGAAAAATCAACTGACAATTAGAGTACAAGACAGAAAACAGACATCAACCGAATTATTAATGACTCCATGAGCATGTCATCGAGAGCATATTTTAATTAATTACCCCATATCCCACGGAGAGCGGGCGGAGATTTTTGTGCGAGAGTGTGGTGCAGTTGAAACTTTACAAAAACAAACAAGTTGGGTATCCAAATCCAAAATTTTCCCTCCATGCTCAAACATGTTGATAATTATATTTGTGTTTCTGGAAGAACAATTTCACCATCTTGGCAACTTTTCCCTCAGCTCCTCCCCATCCATGCGGAGACTGTCAATATGGTGAAGTCAGGATGTTTTTCAGCTAAACATTGTACCCAGCTCCGCAGCAGAGAGTGGAGAATGAGGACTGAGAGATGACAAAGACATTCCATCCTGATAGTCACTTTTAATCAGATGAGAAGAAAATGGCATACTCTGTGGAGAGACATGTTAAGCTGTAAACACATGTCATCAAATTAGCCGCTATCATTTTGCAGAGGTTCTATTTGCAAATTGCTTGATTTGGGTCTAAAAGAGTGTGCTTAAAGGAAACCAAAATCAGTAGTTTGCCTGGTGTGTACTTAGTTAGGCTTAGGCAAATTTGCTCTAACAGGACTCCGCACATGAGTTGCCCTATAAGTGTGTTATCAACATTAAAATTTTTACTACGCACATAAAATCCCTATAGGAAATATTCCCTCAACGCAAGCATGAAAGTGGACAATCAACTACATTGAATTTTATGCTCAATAATTTTTACAGTGAAGTAAAAAGGTGGAATTTAAAGTTGCAATTTCATCTACCCTCGACTTTACACAATAGATTTATACATAAAACCATTTTGGGGCAATTTGGCTGGTGCTGCAGTAAGGAAACTTTGTATGTGGGTCAGAGCTGTATTCTTTAAGTTTATCTCATTGTTATACGCTATCAGAAACAGAGTTGAGAACTATTGTTGAAGACTTTTATCCAGGTGGAGGCTAATTTATACATAGAAGCAAAGTCACAGTGGAGTTTGGGTCAATTATGTGAAATTTGGTGTCGCCTTGTTAGGATTTTTATTGAAAATGTCTTCGGTTCCACTCCATCTCCTCTTTGATGTGATTTCGATCACAAAATTCCTCAGCCTTTGAGCTCTGTGAAACCCCAATTATATTTAATTAAACATTCCTTCTCATTGATTTTCGAGTATAGCTCCCAATCGAATGATGTAGTCAAATTGTTAATTGGTTTATCGAAAAATCCCCAAAACATGGCCTTGTCAATAGATATATACAGACATTCTTGTTCCTATTAATCCTCCTCAGAATGTCGAGCGCATGGAATGCTGCGAAGGCCCTAAAATTGTTTTAAATCTGTTCACAACGCCTCTGTGGCGGGTGAATATGTTCCCAAAAGCGAAGGTGTGTTGTTCAAGAGGTAAACATAAATTATGTTAAATATTCCTGAGGTTATGCTGGGCGTTCATCATTTTGGCTGCGCTTCTCGAGTAAAGGTTTTTGGGTGAATTTCCAATTTAACACCAAATTACTATTTATTGTGGTGTTTGGAAAAATAACCAAAAAAAGATTAGAGGTGATTTGTTTGTTTTTATCAAGCCCGATCACGAATGTATTAAAATTTCAGAAATGCGCTTCTGGTGAATATTTAAATTCACTACGCCTAATGGCCCACTAGAAGCTAATTATCAGATTGGGACGTCAATAAAAGTGTTATTTATCACCAAAGTCACTAAAGAGGTACATTACAAATCAAATTTCGCGCATTTATTGCTCCAGTGTTATTTAATTAAAGAGAAAATTATCCTACATTTTCTTACGTGTTTATCTGACTTTTGGGTTGTTATGGCATTTTGCCCTACGAGATTGAGCCATAAAAATGCTACTTCTTGAATTTCATTCCTGCACATGATTTCTGATAAACAAAGTAGAAACAAAACACCGACCTTTTAACATTGTACCAGGGCGAATAATAATGGTATGAGCAAAGAAATAATTTATTTCTTCAACAAGCGCTGGGCTGAACCATTTTAAATGGAAGTAATTAGTCAGCGCCGTGTAATTTGCAATTAATCATCTCACCAGAGTGTTGCCGAGATTCTATAAGTTATACTGAATCTGCAAAGCAATGCGCGTTGCTTGTGCAATTTCTCCTGAAAACACCCACTTCCACTGCATGACTCCGTACATATGGTTAAGAAAACTCACGTGAAACGTTCACGAAATTCCGATACTGTGCTGGCGATTAGGTGAATTTGCGCGATGCTCACGGCATTGTATATTAATTTGCTAAATAACTTATCTAATAGTCAGCTCTTTAACCAGCCAATTTGCTACAAAATCGCGCAAAATATAATGCAACCTTGATTAATGGTCACCCAGAGTCAAAACGTGACCGTGATTTATCGAAGCGCGAAGAGTGAGTTCAATTCTCTCACAGATAAATGAGGAACAATTCAATATGACTTAACATTTTCCCATATACTAGATCGCATTATCACTCTGTGGTAATCATTAGTCATGATAAAGAGTGCTGCCATGTATCTTCGTGAGCACTATAAATTCAAATCTCTGGTAAACGACACTTTTCGAATACCATACCGACAATAACCAAAAGGCTAATAACCGTGACTGATGTCGGTCCATTAGGAAATTGAAAGAAGTTAATGTGTGAAATACTATACGAAAGAAAGCGTTAAAATGGAAATATTAAATGAATTATTTAATGGGAGTTTCTAAAATTCTTGAATAGTTCTCAGAGCGGGACATCATGTTTTTCTGTTGTTTTCAATAATGGTTTAAATAAGTTTTTTTTGTTATCAATTGCTCCAAATAGAATGCAGAGAAAACCATTCTATCTGTAAAATTGAAAATCATGTTCTTCTTTGAATGGTTAGATTTTCGCATCTCATTTAAAAAAGTTCTTTTTATTGCTTTACAAGTCAAAGAGAAATCGACACTGTAAAATACTAATGCGTAATCACTCTAAGTTCCTTTGAAGTGAACCGCAAAAGATAAATTTGATAAAAATTATATACACGTTGATAATACTCAGGTTTAAATAAATGCTCATGCAAAAACGCCGGGGAGAGAAAGTATCTAATCATAAATCTATTACTTTACTCCTATTGCAGCTCTTAAATGGCCATTTAATGCTGGAAACCATAAAATTTTCTATATGCTGTGTTGCAAGAAGACAGATATTTAGCAGAAGATTTGATCTCCGATTTTCCCACAATTATTTCTCGGACAATTCAATAATCTATGGATTTTACGATGCTTGATTGCACGTAGATTTCGTCACCTTGGACCTTCAATAGGGCCTTGGCATGTGAAGATCGCACGCATAAGCTAAATAAAGTGTGAGCATCTCGTCACATTAGGCCAAAGTGTCATTTTTCATGTTACCGCAATGGCGAGGCACATAAGACCATTTCTAATGAGAGCTTCGGAAGAAGGTGCCAACAAAGGGATTGCGTTATTTTGAATATCCTCGCTCGGGCTGTTATTAAGACGTTTATGTGTGCTTCATAAACTCTATGGTGATGAAGTTATGTATAGAGAGTGTTCAATGAGATATCTTCGTGCTTTAACGTCTTTTAGTGGCCATTTGAGCACGTTTTATAGTCTC